ATATTATGAATTATTATATTATTCAGAGAAGGGTTCTGATAGGTTACCTGCCACGGTGAGGGTCATGGTCGCCCGGTAGAGAAGAGCGTCACCGGTTCCTCCCTTCAGGTGAACGGGGAGCCCGTTGTCCGCCTGTAACCATGGAAACCAATACAAGCCTGTGTTTACACACGTGTTGGATGTTCAGTCACATCCGGACAGTGGAGCAGGTCCGACTGCACGAGGCTGAAGAACTCTAACAACTGATGTCATAATTTCATAAGGACCAAATGGTGACGAAGGATTGGTTCAGATGAAGAAGCTGTCGATCGAGGCTCTAACCTCATTGGTTGAAAAGTTACCAAACTTTCCTGTTTCATATCAACTGTGAGTGTGACGCTGGGCGACAGCTGCTGATCTCATCAGATCCTGGTGACTTTAAAACAGTCGTGTTACCTGGAAGATCTTCTGAGCCTCGGGGACTCGGTTCCTCAGCTGCCGGGCGGAGCTGCTGAAGGCTCGGCCGGCCAGAACCGGAACTTTCTGCAGACACAACAAAACAAAATGGATGAAGAGAGAAGAAAAGTTTTCATCCCTGTACTTTCGTCTGAGCTGCAACGAAACCAGAACTACGATCGTTCATGACTCAACTGATAAGATTGGAGAGGTCAAGGGTCACGTTGAAATATAAATACATAACTGCGTAGACTGAAACTGATCGGTGGAGACAAACAACCAGTGCTGTAGTTCTACTTTACACATATCTATGATTTCACATCACTGCATGTTGTAAGTTTGAGTCTGTGATGGTGAAAGAAGAAAAAGACTCGGGACTGTTTCTGTTTCATCTGTTACGCAATAAAGAAAAAAAGGGTTTTAATGACGCTGCAGAGTTACACTGACATTCTTCTGATTCGTCGAAGAATCTAAACTTAAACCAAATGAAGACAAGATGTCCTCACACGTCATGAACATCTTTGTCCTCACGGAAACGGACTGAGAGCCACATGTTCGTCGTGATGAAGCACATCTGGATCTTTTCTACGGCTGATATGTGAACTATGTAACTGAAACTCTAAAATACCAGGACGTTGACCTGGAGACGTGGTACTTTCACTTTAACTGCATTTTTTTATTTGGAAATGAAACAGCTGTCACTTCCTCGTCCGACATGTGGGCGTTCAGCTGGAGTCTGTCTCTTTAAGACATTAGAACCCGACACTGCGACCAATCAGGAGGCAGAGGGGGAGGAGCAAAGTAAAATACTGAACTGAACAGCAGCTGTTAGCAACGACAACAGGTTTGTTACCTGACGTCATCAAGTCACAAGAGGAGTCGCCCCCTGCTGGTCTTTACACAGAAGACAGGCTTCAGGTTCTTCAGCTTCACTTTTTCACTCTTTTTTTATAAACTTTGATCGTTTCACGTCGTGTGTTTACCTTCAAGTAAAAGTACATCAAGGTCGTACTTTTAAAAGTGTTTGAGTAGATGTACTCAGTTACTCTTCACCAGGTGATCAGAGGAAAGAAGAGTGGAAACGTCTGTGTGTGTGTGTGTGTGTGTGTGTGTACGTGCTGAACTGCATTGTCTAACTGAAACCACAGAGGTGTGTGTGTGTGTGTGTGTGTGTGTGTGTGGAGGTCATGTGAGGTGATCCTGTCAGTAAATATAGATCATATCTTCAGTGTGTGTGTGTGTGTTTGTGTAAAATAACACAATCACACGGTGAACACGCAGCGTCTCAACGTCTTCCTGCTCAGGACAAAGGTCAGGTCACTTCAGTTCACTTTTATCTGACACACACACGAAAACACACATCGTTCGTTTCTGATCACAACTTTTCTCTTTTCAGCCTGAAACGATTCAAAGTGAGAAAACAGAGGAAGAAAATGGAGGCAGTTACCAGGAGGTGATTCATGTCTGTGTGTGTCTGCTGCGGTGCGTGTCTGCGGCAGTGTGTGTCGAGCTGCCTCGATTCACCCTCACAAGGACATGCGCACACTCAGACACACACACACACACACACAGTATCAGTGTTTCTGAACCTCTGCCAAACTACGATCTGCTGCAGAGGCCAAACCACAGCGGCTGGAACGCTCATGTCTTTTTAAAATGTGATTTCATTTGAATTCATTTAAAATCCGACTCAGGCTGATTCTTTCAAATCAACTTGACTTTGTGAAAAAGTTCTGTTTAAATAAAGTTGACCTCTGTGAACTTGTGTGTGTTGATAGTGATTCATGAACATTAGAATACTTCAGACCTTGTTCATCATATTATGACGTATTTAACCATTTCAGTTCTGATTGTTGAACTTTAGATTTTTCTAAAAGTGTGTTTTTACAGTTTTTAACATTATGAGGTAACATATTTCTTTTTCACTGATTTCACAGAGAATAATTCATGGATGAGAATAATATAATCAGAATAGAATAATAACACATTTAGGGGACCGGTGGAGGAACGAGTTTCATTCAAGTTTGAATTTCTATATAAGAGAGTGACACACCACGGCTGAAGAGAGAGAAGTTCCACTGACGCAGAAATCTGTTCACAATAAGTTTAACTTTCTACTTCAAACTAATCTGATTAAACAAAACGTGTGGATTCGTAAAGTCCCAGGTAGGAATCAGCAGAACCTGAAGGAGGCACGGTGCCTCAACAAGTGAGCAACCTCATGGACCTGCTGGCCAGGGAGAGGGCAACCTCAGTACAGAGAACTACTGAGATCCAACTGAGCCAAGAGCTAGAGGAGCTCAACCAGAGCTGGAGGAGGAGCTCCAACCAGAGCTGGAGGAGGAG